CGGGCGGGCGGGCGGAGTGGGGACTCTCCGGGCGCTGACATTTGCAGCCTGCCCTCCTGATTGGTCCCTTCGCCGAGCTGCTCACGGGTTCATTGAAGTGTTAAGCACCTCCCCGTCTCTCTAAAGGACATTATAATGCAAGAGACCCCCTTTTTAACCACACACCGAATTTTCTTTCATTTAGGCGATCTATATATATCTTCTCGCCTATATCTTCTATCCACATCTATTTTACATAACTTCAGGCTGCTAAAATTTGGGGGGGGACCAGCCTTCGCCCTGGAGCGCTGCGCGATGCTGTCTCACGCCGACCTCCTGGACGCCCGGCTCGGTGAGTTTTCCCCCCGCAGCTCCCTCGCCCCCAGCAGCCGCGGCGGCAGGAAGGAGCCGGAGGCAGGAAATTGACAATTTGGTCCTTGTTTTGCCTTAATGCGATCTAAATGGGCTAATTTCTGGCAAAGTAATTGTGCGGCTCCCGCTTTAATTTGATTTAACGTCGTCTTAAAAAAAATCCTATGGAATATGTAGATCCACCCGAGGTGCGGGCACCTCATGCCTCTGCTCTCAGCCGTCGCCCCCACCCATCCCCGGCGCTCCCGGACAGGCCAGCCTGGCTTCAGCCGGGAGGGATTTTCATTTGATTTGCCTTTCTCCCCCCACCCTTTTTTTTTTTTTTAACATAAGCGTTTGTGCAGATGGGGACGAGGATCGGGAGAGTGTGCCCGGATCTGGCACAGGGCGGTGAAGCTGCTTGGGGTGAGGCGGGGTGGGGTGCAAGGGGGGGGTGAGCCCCACTGGCCCTGGGGTGTAAGGAGGGATCGGTGAGCCCCATGGGCCGGGCTGAGCCTGGAGCTTGCCCCGCGCTGGAAGTTGGCTGGGCTGCGGGTGCGGGGCGGGCGGGGGTGCAGGCTGCAGCGCGGTGACCGGGGCTGCTTTGCCCCCGCAGGGATGAAAGATGCGGCCGAGCTGCTGGGCCACCGGGAGGCTGTGAAGTGCCGCCTGGGCGTCGGCGGCTCCGACCCGGGGGGGCACCCGGGGGACCTGGCTCCCAACTCGGACACGGTGGAAGGGGCCACGCTGCTGCCCGGGGACGACATCACCACGGTGGGCTCCAACCCCAGCTCCTTAGCAGTCAGCGCCAAAGACCCCGACAAACAGCAGGGGCAGCAGGGCGGGCAGAACCCCAGCCAGCCCGGACAGCAGCAGGGGCAGCAGAAGCAGAAGCGGCACCGGACCCGCTTCACCCCGGCGCAGCTCAACGAGCTGGAGAGGAGCTTCGCCAAGACCCACTACCCTGACATCTTCATGAGGGAGGAGCTGGCCCTCCGGATTGGCCTCACCGAGTCCAGGGTGCAGGTAGGAGCCGGCCCCAGCCCGGGCCTGGGGTCACTCCGCGGGGGGTAGATCCGTGGGTCTCCAGGCAGGGCTCCCTAAAGAGGCAGCTCGTGACATCTGTGTCTCTAGCTCACCGCCTGATTTCACCAATGACAAGCGGCTTCCAAAGCCTTCCTAGCACAGGTGCCTCTGAGGCAGCGGGGCTCCCTAGACACCCCGCTGGAAGAAGAGAGCTCTCGGTGTCCTGCTAGTGCAACCGTTGAGCTATTTCAAATGTGCAAGTCGATCCCCGCTTAGAAAGGGGGTGGGGGGTGGGGATAAAGTCCAACCCGCATGGCATTGTTCTGCTTCCTAAAACCGCATCCGCCCTTAGGTTTGGTGGTGTAGCTCCATCCAGGGAACCACTTCCCCTTCGCAACGGGCGATCCCAAAAAGACTCCTCCCGAACCAGACAACCAAGCCAAAATCAGAGCAAGTCAGGGCGCCGCGGCTCCGCCGTGTCATTCTCCCTTTCCTCGCGAGCGGGCTGACTGACGGCTGCCCCGGGGCGACACCGGTGGCAGGGTGCGCTGGACAACCAGTGCCGTCGCCTTGGCTTTCTGGGAGATGCTGAATTCGAGCGGAAAGCGGCGTCCGTGGCTAGGGAAAGGGAATGGAAATCCAGAAGCGGCTCAGGCAGTCAGTCACATGTTTCTGTTTCTTGCACTGTTTACACGAAGCGCTCGCTCTCAATACGATCCTGCTTCTTTTATCAGCGAGAGCGATGCATTGGGTGCACCCGGATCTAATTGAATGGCGTGAGCTGTCCAAGGTGCTGAACGTCTCCAATTGGGACCCGCGGCAATGTCTTCCCCAGAACTTTATGCGAGATTGCCTGAAATATGCCAATGGGCAGCAACCCCTAACAATTGGTTACACGCTCATTGTTGGCTAAAAAAGGGGTGTCTACGAACGCAATTTCATTTTCGGTCTCAGTTCCTTCATATTTGGTTTCAAATGCTGAATAAGTGCTGAGGATAACAGGAACAATGAACAGTTTAAATTTCCTGTTATCGAGTGAGACCTATATTTATATCTCGATAGCTATGTAGACGAAGATATAGCTCGGCATACAGCAAACAGGTTATTCACATACATTTAGCAGGAAAGTGGAAGCGGGCGAGATGGGTAAAAACCAACAGATTCCTACGCAAAACGATTTTAGCAATTAAGTGTTATTGTGTGGGCTTTTGAGCTAGTCTCTGAGAAATGAATACATGCACGCTGTAATTACTGGTCGAAAGTGCTTTTGCTGCTGGGCATGATGACCTTGTGAACTCGCTTTTATTTTAATCGTGCTCCTCTCCAAAATTTCTCACGGCAAGCCCAGACCGACAAGCTAAATAAAGAGATATGTTAAAAAATCATAAGTGAATTAACGTTACATAAAAAGGAGCTGTATTCTTGTATGTAGCAGAATGCATATGCGTTTGTTTTAAACAGGAAAACAATTTTACTCGACTCACACAAGATGATAATTAGTTTAAATTAAACTAGGAATTAGATTCACAAATAAAATATAATTGGACAACGGACTTTATGAAAAAAGAAAACGAGGTCTATTAAACTTTATTGGGTTTCCCAAAGGTTAATGATACCAATTTCAATATTAGGAGTGCCGTAGACGAAATAAAATGTAAAATAGATAATGGAAATAGCTATTTTCCAAAAGCACATCAAAGAAATTCGTAGGAAGAAAGACAAAGTGTTTTAATAGACTCAGCATAATCCTAAACCAATGATAATGGCTCGAGACTGCTGATAAAAACAGTTTAATAGGGTGGCAATTTAAATATTTTTTTACAATAATGTTCTCTAGTTTAAAAAGTAATCAGATCAACATACCCTTCTTAATTAACACTTCAAAATGATTAACATTATGTAATCTAATGCAAAAATAATTTATGTCAAATGTATTTACTTCACAATTCACTGTATCATTGCTCCTTGACCAAATTTAAATTAAATAGTAATTGGTTTATGTTCTTATACGAGTACTTTATAGTTTTCTTTATAGTTAACAGATTGCCTACACATTCCTTGCTGTACGTGGGGTTCACACTGATTAAGGAATGATACAAACTGTTAATTTATAGCGTCTGTGTATGTTTTTAAGTGTTTGAGATGCTGGAATAAATTACTTCTTTCCCCCATTTTAGATCTATATTTAATGTATGTGATACATTTAAATAATTATTAAAGCGAGTGGTGCTTATAAGAGAGCCCTATTCCACGTCTGATATCGCTCTGCTTTTCAGGCTGGTGTAATAAAACCATTCTTTTTATAGCATGCCATTATTAGAAACCAATTTCAGAATTATTTATAACCTGGAATGGCTTATTAAGCAGCAATGCGAGAATCATGCAAATTACGCGATCAAATGCAATATAATAAGCATAATCATTAGTCTCTAGCACGGATTAATTAACTTTCAATATTTTATTTACATAAAAACCAAATCAGTGAAATAACTTCTGCACAGCCAGGCTTGCCTTTCAATATTTTATACGAACAAAAATAATGTGTTGTAATTCCATTGACCGTGTCCCCCACAACGGTCCTGTCACCTGCCACATCTTAATAGGGGACAAGCTGAGAGTATTTTCTAGTTTTCTAATGGAATGAGAAATTGCATTTTCTTCCTCTCCCAGCACTATTAAAGTGTAATGAATTCGGCCCAGAGTTCACGGCTGGCTGATCGAAATGAACCTGAGATCTGAGCTTTAATACAGCTCTCCAGATTTCCTACCAAATCTTCACATTAATCATCCGCTGGATTCCAATGAGATCTTCATAATGCTTTTGGCTCCTGGAGAAAAAAGATATCCTCTCCTCTTCTCTCTCTATTTCTAGCCCATTTATAGCTGGGGAATTAAACGGGCTATATATTTTAAAATACATTTACACTATGTCTATATTACTGTAACAGCAGATAACATCAGGGTAAATTTTTAGATTCCAACCTCCATTAGATTCTCACTGTTGTATTAATAATTTTCAGGGGGTAGCTGCATTTTAAAAAGAGTCCAAAGTTGCTCAGTGCCTGTGGTTAATATATTTCCAGAGCTGTCAAGTGTACGTTCTCAAAATCTCCCTCAGGTTTTCTCTGTGTTTTAATCTGTCATGCACCAGGTTTCAACTGGAAACATTCACATTTTAAAAGCATATGCACCGCAGCTATGAGCAGACCTGATGGAGATTCTTTACAACACCAGTAAACCATGAAACATAAAAGATTTTGTAGCCGCAATTTAACTATTAACCCTAAAACATAATTGAACACGATTTTTCGATTATTCATCTAACACTGAGTTCCTTAACAGCTGTTCATTTCCGCTAATGGCCGTGCACAGTTCTCAGCCCGGGTTTACAGTGTGACATGATGAACTCCAGCAAGTTCTGGGCCTGGCATAGTCCGAATCTGGATTTCCAGTCCACCCATTTCCTCCCACCCTCCCCTTGCTAAGAGCCCAGGATCTTTTTAATGCAATACAAGGAAACCCACGGATCCGCTCTCCCCAGTGGGTTCACGTCCAAGCAAAGCGCCTGCTTGCTGAAGACACCTGCCGCCTGGTTTCACGCAGGAGGTCGGGGCTGAGCGATTCCGGCTCACGGAGCAGCCCCCGATCTCGGGTGGTGAAACCGGGGTCGGGAGTCTGCCTGCGCAATCGCCCTGCGATCACACAGGCCTTTGGGTTTTATGCGCAGCCAGGAGCTCTCCTCCGCAGGGTCAGGAGCACTGGACCGGTGCATCCCTCCCCCCCTTTTACACAAATTCGCCTCGTTGTGAGCGAAGGTGCCCTCAGACAGCTCAATCCCGGGCAGACACATTGATCCCTTGCAGTAGAAAAGTTCCTGCAGCTCCAGTCATCCATCAGGCGGCAGCTGGTGGGGCGGCCTCGGAGCTGGGAATAAGAGGAAGAGGAAGAGGCCAGGTAGAGGCAGAGGCTAGGGAGTGAGGGCTTTCCTGGCAAGTATCTTTCCTCGGCAACGCGCTCTGTCTTGCCAAACCGGCCGGGGCGTGGGCCGGGCAGCCTCTGCAGGTCACGTCCTCTCAGGACCGGGGTGGGGCGGGGGCGGCTCAGACAGCATTTCTGCTGCGTACCCTGAGGCCCCAGAAACAGCTCGTTGCTCCTCCCCGGGATTACTGGAATCGAGTTGTTAAACCGCTACTGGGGGGTGAGGCGGGGTGCAGTGGATCCCTCATTCCTGCCCCGCTGCTTGAGAGGGCCGGCGCTGGCCCGGGCCTCCCTGCCCCGCGGCGCCCGGAGCGGACACTTGCTCGCGCTGAGCCGCGGGGCGGCGACTGGAGCTGTGGGGAGAGGCGCGAAGGGCCTCCAGGCTCGGGGCTTGGGAGAGCACAAAGAGCCGTGGGAGCCGGGGCCTCCTGCATCGGTCACGGGCCCGCAGTGCTGGGGCCGGCGCGGGCTGCCGGAGCAGGTGGGCAGCGGGCAGCTCCCGCCCTGCGGGGAGTCTGGGCTGACCGCAGCTACTCTGCTTAGCACCGGTGTGCCCGGGGCCCGGGGGGGAGACAAACCCAGGGCTCCTTTCCCCCCTTTAACCCTCCCTTTGCTGTTTTCAGAAGGAAAGAGGGAGGCTGGGTGCGCCTCGGCCGGCAGGGAGAGCATCCAGGCCATGCCCCCTCCCTAGCGTGGCCCCAAGAGTGTGTGCGTGCATGCGTGCGTCCGCGTGTGATGTGTGCGCGCATGTGTGCGTGTATGTGTGCGCGCGTGTGTGAGCATGTGTCTATGTGTGGGTGCATAGGTGCAAGCATGTGTGTGCATGTGTATGTGTGTGCATGCGTCTGTGTCCATGTATGCGTGTGTGTACCTGGTTGTCTATATGTGTGCGTGTGTATATGTGTGTGTTCGTGTGTGTGAATGTATATGTGTGCGCGAGCAAGTGTGTATGCATGTGTATGTGTGTGTTTGCACGTGTGTATATGTGTGCGAGCATGTGTGTACCTGTATATGGGTGTGCATGTCTATACGTGTGCGTGTATACGTGTGTGTGCCCACGCGTGTGTGCGGGGGCAGGCGACGCGCGTGCACGCTGGCGCAGGGACTCGCAGGCCGCGGGGTGACGCGCTAGCTCCCGCAGGTCTGGTTCCAGAACCGCCGCGCCAAGTGGAAGAAGCGCAAGAA